ATAATTAACCACACCATCATTAACAAAACACTATACACGTCCTCGCATCAGAATCAAAGGCACGACACTTGCAAATAAAATGCAACAGACAAATTCTATTCCAACAAAGCGAGCGATATCTCCAAGGCCTGAAAATATTCAGACTAAAAAAGTTAGTGTCATCGGGACAGCAGAATTTCAGACAATGTTCTCCTTTCTTTTCTTTTCTCCCCAACTAATGCTACGATCGAGATGGACCAGTCCCTGTCAAAGCTAAGCCAAAGTCCTCAATCTAGCAGATTGTCACAATATCTAATTAAATCATGTCTGACCGGTCGATCATGTTCAGTTTCAGAGCAGAGAGCAGCCAAGGAGCACGCACACACAAACGGATTCCTTAATCAATTAATTAATGAAATCTTCAGAATGGACAAAAGATGGAGCATGTTAGGAGTTTAGACTCTCTGCCACACCAACCAAAACTTAAGCTACCCAACAATCCCAGCAATGGCCAATGGCTGATCAAGTGCAGTTTTTGTCGGTATTTTTGTGTGAATGAACAATGCAGGAAGCACTGCACTGCAGCTACTCTCCATGTCCAATGAACCAGTGTACTACGGTTGGTGGGGGCACTGTTGTTGATTATATCACCGCCAATTCTATGTGTATAGAATAGTATTTGATTGGTTTTGAAAAGTTAGTGTTCCACCTGTTATAAAATATAAGTATTTTTTCTAGAATATAAAATATGTACCACAATGTAAATATTTTTATGAGGACTAATTAGATTCTTAGGAAGAGAATCTAAGCCATCCAAAAATCAAAATTGTCCATCTAAAAGGAGAATTTTTTTCCTTAACCCTAGTATTCGTTAAACAATCCAAAATGCTTATATTTTATAACAGAGTGGGTACTAGACTACTAGTACATGTTTAATTAAAATACAGAAATTTGTGTGATTCCTATGAGAACCAGACCAATTCCTTCATTTTAAATGGGCATAAAATGCTAGTAATAGTTACAATTTGTATCTTGGTATCTCAGAGCAGTGCCTTTTCGACAGTGTTGACAGGTGGACCCCCCGAGTTTTCAGAAAGAATAGTTAGAGCGTACTGAAGCATTTTTTCAGGCTTTGTGCCCGGTTGTTGGATGTCACTATGCATGGCACCGGCCATGAAAGTCCATAGGCATGTTAGCCATTTCCTTGGCAGTTTGTCTGGTGAGCAGAGGCTCAAGTCACACAGAAGTGTTGCATGTGTTTCACTTTTTAATTTATTTATACAGAGAGAAAAAAAATAGGGAGTTTGTGTTGTTGTGCAACGGCAGCAGTTCATCCTCCATTTGTGGCTTGTGAAACTCAAAGAGTTCAAGAGCCTTTGATAGTGGAAGCCCATATGTTGCACAAAGGCTCCATGTGTCCCGCTCTGTCGCTACTTTCTCTGTTCTGTCTCGCTCTATTTTTCTTCCTTTTTGGCAAACTCAATACAGAAATATTATATAAATCATGCCCTTTTAATGCTTTTCGTGTCGAGATAAGTTAAGAAACCAATTTATGTGTTGACATCAGGAATCAGATTTGAATATATTTGTTTGTAGGTACAGAGTAATTTAAGAATGGGGAATTGTGCCGGGAACTTCAGTGTTTGCAACGGCCCTGTGCATTTTTTTTCACCCTTCAGTGTTGATCCCTAGGCATAATTCACTTTTTTTTAAATGATTGAAAAAAGCTGTCCACTTAACATACATTTATTTATTTGTATTTTCTAAAAAATCTATGTTTTTCGTATAACCGTTTTATATTTTGACTCGTCCCCCGATGCATATTGTAATCACTAAGGCCTTAGTTCACGAAAAGAGAATTTCTGGGTGTCACATCGGACATTTGACCGGATGTTGGAAGAGGTTTTCGAACACGAATGAAAAAACTAATTTCATAACTCACCTGAAAACCGCGAGACGAATTGATTAAGTCTAATTAATCCATCATTAGCACATGTAGGTTATTGTAGCACTTATGGCTAATCATAGACTAATTAGGCTCAAAAGATTCTTCTCGCGATTTTCACGCAAACTGTGCAATTAGTTTTTCATTCTATCTATATTTAATGCTTCATGCATGTGTTCAAAGATTCGATGTGACGTTTTTGGGAAAAAAAATTGGAAACTAAACAAAGCCTAATTGGCATATGTGATTACTCTACTAGGGGTCCATTCCCTATTGTTCATCCAAAAGGAAAAGTAAGAAATAAAAAACACGGTATACCATTGTTTACATGCTGTCGGAATAAATATCGCTTTACTGCTTTGAAAAAAAGGGAGCAACGTTGACCTCCGTATTTCCAACTTACCACATTGATCAATTACTTAAATGCAACTTTCGAACATGCAACCAACTCACAGTAAATGTCGTCGAAACAATGTTTGACTATGTGTCATAAAAATATTTTAAGAGGGCTTTATTATTTGTATTAGATACTCCCTCAGTAAAAAGACTGTTATTTTAAAAATAGAAAAGTTATATCATGCAAAGGGTAAAAAAAAAACTACCATGCCCTATATCAATAGAAAGAGAAAACAAGTAGGAGGAGAACATTAACAAGAAGGAGAATAGGGTACTAATAATTAAATGGCTAAAATGAGAAAAAAGGAAAAAAAAGATATTACGAGGTCTAGTGGACCCAACTGAAAAGTACTCTTTGAAACAATTCTAAAAGCTAAAAGATAATACTTTTAGGGCGGGAGAGTATCAGAGTAGCTTTTGTATGAGTAAAACGCACCATCCCCGTTTCAAATTATAAGATGTTTTGACTTTAGTCAAAGTCAGACTGTTTCAAGTTTGATTAAGTTTATAGACAAATATAGTAATATTTATAATACTAAATTAGTTTCATCAAAATTACAATTGAATATATTTTCATAATAAATTTGTCTTGGGTTGAAAATGTTACTACCTTTTTCTACAAACTTGGTCAAACTTAAAGTAATTTGACTTTGACTAAAGTCAAAACGTCTTATAACTTGAAACGGAGGGAGTAACATTGATAATAAATGATTAAAAAAACAAGGTATACAACCCACTGCAACGAATTAATAGAGGACCATACATACAGTATAGAAATTATGCTACAGATATATGAGTGGATTTTAAACTCTCAAGGACATATCCTATTGTTATTTGCATGTCAATTAAATATTTATGATTTTTTTTAAAAAATAAGAATATATATTAACATGTGATATATCACTCTACAATTATGCTAGTTAAAATTTAACTTTTACAAGTTAAAAAAAGCAAATTAAACCATAGCTAGTTAATTTATATTCACAGTCAAATTTGTTTTAACGTTGCAACATGTATAAGTTAAATTTTATTTTGCATGTTTGTGGAGTCATCTATCCTATATTAATCTATATTGTTAATTTTTTTTATAACTATTTGAGTGAATAATTTCTCCTACAGGTATACAGGAAATTACATTTACATCCCCTGCATTCATGTGCTACAGTAGCTCTCTCCTTACGCGCAATAAATAAATAAATGTGTCGCTTTCCAAATTGCATATTGGAAGATCAAGTAGAAGAGGCCGTACAAATCTACTGCAGGCTTGCCTTCTATGAAGGGAAGACCGAAGAAATGGGATCCTATGTGTGGTATACAGAATGAATGCAATAGGATCCTGTCCTGCCATGATTATTATTTCCATCCTTCAATTTTCACCATTACCTAATTCAGCTTAAAAAAAAGAACTAGACACATAAAATCTATTATAGCCACTCCTTTAGAAAAATAAGTATGTCAGCGAAAATAATATCCTATCGGAGGATTAAACCCAAAATTCGAAACCTTGTAATTAATCATTACACAAGTTTTGACATGTGCATCTCCCGTATCCATTGCGAGCCAAACTATTTTGAAAGAACAGGATTCAAATACCCTTCACATGGAATACTTATTGTTTTGTTATTACAAGGCCAACAACTTGTTTTCATACTTACTAAATGAATAAATATAGGTAGCTAATAAATATAGCATAGTCCATGACAGTGAACATGAGTTGGCGATAAAATCAGTGGTAGTCAATGGCACATCTCTTGGGTGGTGATGATGGACTCCTAGCAATGGTGATGGTATAATATTGATGACGAGAGAAGAAACTTCTCTGACGTATTACCCTTTGATGAGTGTTTCTAACATGTGAATCCACTAGATATGGAATCAGTCACTTGAAGTCAGGGGATAGTAAGTTAGAAGATATTGTTCCGATGACAAAGGCATGCAACTGAGAAGCGGGGAGGACATTACACAAGGAAGAGCTGACATAATATACTTGCCCGGGGAGAAGAGGTGTTGGCAGTTGGCTTATCTTTTAAGATAGCAAAATCATCATTGCTTAACTAAAAATCTTGCAAGTGCACACATACAAACACTTGTAGTTTGACTTGCTATCTGAGTCACAACCAATAGACCAAGAGAACAAATGCCCTCTCCCTTAAAACCATTGCTCCAATCTTGTTCAAATATCACCAATGATTTAAACCAAAACACATTTTGCAGGTCTCAAATTGCGTATCAAGCCGGGTCGATGTCGGTTTAACCCCCCATAATTCCATTTGACTGGTTCCTCTCAAGCATGTTGCCTGGCCCCCACGCTTTTCCACTGTCGTCAGTCCAAATGCCTCACCCAAAAAAGCGATTAGAAAAGCGCATAAAGAGCACAAAACAACATATACCCCACACCCACACCCAAGAAGATAGACTCTCAACACATGTGCCGATCTAGTTCCGCGAGATCATTACAAACCACAAACCACAGTAACAAATATAACTAATATCGGTAAGGTCCACATATCAACGACTACTTACGGCCGTATTATATACTAATGTTGGCCTAATGTTGGTGAGGCCCCACATGTCAGCGACTAACTCGCGACCGGCTTGTGTAGGAAGCGAATTGTGGCTATAGCAATGGGCTCACCCCATTTGCTATAAACACGCACACGCACTCTCAACCCTCTCTCTCTCTCTTCCGTTTGCTATATATTGGCACTTAATTAACACAGTGGCCTAAGCAGAAGCCATGTGCTAGGGAAAGCAAGTCTTCCTCCTCTCTCTCTCTCTCTCTCTCTCTCTGCTTCTCTCACACTCTACTGCTGCTCATCACCATCATCACCACCATGGCAGTGCTCCTCTCCATCCTCTCCTCCTCTTTCCTGCTGCTCTTGGCGGCCTCCTCCTCCTCCACGCCACGCGCGTCTGCGTGCGAGAGGTGCGTGCGCAACGGCAAGGCCGCCTACTCGCCCTCGCTCTCCCCTCTCCCACCTGGTAAGCACACACTTCACTCCCTGACCAAGAACTGGTTGATCCGATTGATTAGTTGAGGATGTTGCAAGAACTTAACAAGATGTGTGAATCTTGGTGTGTGATGGATGGATGGATGGATCTCAGGTGGTGGAGGAGGATGTGGGTATGGGGCCATGGCCATGGAGATGGAGCTGAATGGGGGATTCCTTGCAGCCGGGGGTCCAAGGCAGCACAGGGGAGGGCTTGGATGTGGAAGGTGCTTTCAGGTACTACAGGGACAAAGAGGCCTAATTTGTTTCCTGTCTTGTCTTCATTTTCTTTTTTAATTTTTGCTCCCATTTCTGGCCATGTCCTTTTCTGATTTAACCAAAATGTCCCTTCTTGCTTGCTTGTTCCTCACATGGGGCTGGTTGTTGTTCAAGAACTTGTGGGATTTTTGTTTTTCTTTTGAGACCGACGCTTTGCAAACAAAAGAAGTTTTAGTTAGTTTCTGGAATTGGTGGTAGGACTGGTAGTTCCTTCATGTTTTTTTTTTTACTTTTTAGGAGGTGATGTTTTGAAGAAGCAAACAATCAACTAATTGTAAGAGCATCTATTATTTATTTTTTTGATTGTTTTGTTTCTACTTAGTAAGATACTTAGATTCCGATTGGCACAACTTTTTCCAAAAAAAAAAACAATATTATAAAATGTGTTTTGTAGAATAATTCAGGTAGTCCTTTTTGCAATCATGAAAAATAATACTAGACAATGAAAGTGGCGAAGTAAAATCCCCTCAAAATGATTTAAGAATCAAATAGTAAAATTGAAAATACTATACAGTAGCTTTTCGGGAAAAAAAAAAACCAGTGTCAAGCGGGCTTCGAAGGCCAAATAAGAGCTTAATTCTAACTTGCTCCATTTACCAAATGAAGCCTCTGTACAAAAAATTCTGAAAGAGACTTGGTTGTTTCCTAAGATTTCTTGATTTTTAAAGTGGCTAAACCGTACTATTACTATATAAATGGCATTTATTTCAGTTGTGTTTTTGTCCTTTGATCCTTTCACACTTGTTATTCACCCTGTTTTTTTATTATTCTTTTTTTGCGAGAAAAGATGAGATGCAGAAATGCAGAGGTGTGCAGTAACGCAGGCGTCCGCGTCGTGCTCACCGACTTTCACAGGAGCAACAGTACGGACTTCCTGCTCGGTGGGCCCGCTTTCGCGGGCCTGGCCAAGCCCGGGATGGCCCACAAGTTGAAGAAGCTTGATGCTCTGTCAGTAGAGTACAGAAGGTAGGAGTAATATCTGTCTGGCATGTTAATTTTCAAGCCTAATTATTGTTTACTTAGAGAAAATTTGCTGTTCTTAATTATCTGGTAATTCAATATTTTAAATCAGATACATCCAGGCAAATATTGAGGAGATTTGTATGTATTAGAAAAGGCAGTGGAAGGCCATTTCGTTAGGTAGACTTGGAGTTACTTGGAGGGATGATGTCCCTTAGACGAGTAAATATATACTCCGTTTTTTCCATTGGTTAGCTTAAAATTAAATTAACCAACGTCAAATATATAAGGAAAGTGGTAGTATCTTTTTGGAATTTCATAAATCATGGTATAGGAAAATGGTTCATATGGTTTTGAATTCTTAGGTGTTCTCTTTTGAAGTTTATTTTCATATTGAATTTTAAAGCTAACGATTTAATTTTTTTTGAATTTCATATTAAATTAGATAGATGCAGATGTCACATATTTATTTAAATGAAATATGTAGCTTACTCCATGTTACTCTTGAACTCGAATTCTATACTTAAATATTCATCACTGGAAAGTACTAAGGCCCTGTATGAGATAGCTAAGATTGATGATATGATATTTGTGATAGGTATTTGAGTGTATAAAGGAATAAATTAACTACTACATAGTTAAAAATAGCTTTAGAATATTATTCCAACAAAACTATATATATAAAACTTGCACAAAATGTATTGTTTAGGAGCTTGGAAAACGTACAAACGAAAATCCAGGATCAGAAAAGAATAACCAGATTCCAAACACGACAAATTCATGTTTACTGATGTTTACAACGATAACCATTTAGATATTACTTGGTCTTGGTCCAAATGCTAACATTTATTTATTTAGGCTGAAATGTTGTAAAAGTGAGACTGAAAGAGATTTTTCCAAATGCTTCACAAGGCAAAGACACAACTTTATTTTCAACGAGCCTAGAGATACATACAAATTAATGGTTAGCACTGCAGTCCTCTTATATCTTTTCCCTTGTTTCCTTGCAGAATTCCCTGCGACTACAAGGACAAGAACCTGTCCATATTAGTAGAAGAGCAGAGCAAAAGGCCAAACAATTTGGTCATCAAGTTCCTTTACCAAGGTGGCCAAACTGATATCTTAGCGGTGGATGTTGCTCAGGTAAAATGAAGACTTGAATCAAACAGAAATAATAACATGTATTTTTTTCAATGAATTTCTTTTTTCATCTTAATTACAAACAACTGAAACAGAAAGCGTCTAATAAACAATATTGTGGACTTGGTCCATGCAGGTGGGATCATCGGATTGGCGGTTCATGACCCGGGTCTATGGACCCGTTTGGAGCATCGACCGGGCCCCCAACGGACCGCTTCAGTTCCGGGCTGTGGTGACCGGTGGTTACGACGGGAAGTGGGTCTGGGCCGACCGGGAGGTTCTTCCCGCCAACTGGCAGCCCGGCCAGGTGTACGACACCGGTGCGAGGATCGCCGACGTGGCGAGGGAAAGCTGCCTAGACTGCGCCACGCTGGACTGGAAGTGAAAGGTGTGCTAGACCTGACGTATCTGGCACTGCAAAGACCAGGTACATGTAGATACAGTCCTCATAGGGTGAAGGGACAGCGCTGGGGTTGGAAAAAACAGAGGCTCCCCTTCCCTGTCAAAACAAAGAGATACAATGTTTTTTATGGGGGATAGCTGTGATCTCCCTGTTTAGCCCTTTGATTTGGTCTCTTCTTCCAATATGCATGTGTTCACTGAACCATGCATATGCATATGAGAGATGTGTCATCAGGATCTGATGAGATGGTGGTGGTGGTGGTGGGCTCAGGGGAATGTAAACAAATGTAACCTAGCTACCCCCATACTAATTGCTAGAATAATGAACATAGTTCCAGTGTTTTGTCCTTGGCATGTGAGTGTGTTTGTGTCCCTGCTTATTCAAAGTTCACATGCCCACCTAACCTATCAAGTTAGACTGGGATCCCTTGGTCCTTTGTCATCTTCATTGAGCTAAACACATGCTGGTGTGGGACTGTTGTTTGTAGGTACTAGGTAGGTTACTTTTTTGTAGGGCACATATATGTAATGTAATAGTAGTCCTGAAGTAGAACCAACATGTAACTTCTTTTCCTTTTAAATAAAGGCAGCTCTGCCATTTATTTCAAGAGGAGAGATACACTAATCCAAAAAAGGGGGGAGGACTCAAAAAAAAAAGAAGATAATACCGGCTCTAGAAGAAACCCCAACTCTTAGGCTTGTCTACCGATATATCGCTTAAGGCTTTGAGAGGAGAGTAAAAGAGAAGATTGAGAACATACGCAAAATAAGATGAGCCATTAGCGCATGATTAATTGAGTATTAACTACTTTAAATTTGAAAATTGTATTAATATGATTTTTAAAGCAATTTTTCTATAGAAAATTTTTGCAAAAACAATATCATTTAGTATATCGGGAAGCATGCGCACGGAGAACGAGAGAAATCTTCCCTCAAAGACAAGCGACTAACATATAGTTAAGGGGCTCTGAAACACGATTACAGCAGTGAGTGAAACAGCTCCAGTAGGCATGGAGCTACTAGCATCCTAAATGCTACTTAATCTGTTTCATATTGTATAAGCATTATAGCTAGATTTGTCTTCTGTTAAAAAGTTTAAGAAATCTTATAGAGAATATGTGTACTACTAATATATTCAATGATGAATTTAACGAAAATAATTTGGTGTTTAATACTGATGTTTTTTTCTTTAAACTTGATCAAACTAAAAAAATATCAACTTAAAACAAAATAAAGCACTTCCAATATGAAATGAAGGGGATACATCTTATACGCATACACATTCCGTTCCAAAATATAAGGTGCGGCTACTTGTTTTGATGCTTCATAATACAAGACACACATACATACATGTAATTAACTAGCACCTATTCATTCCCTAAATTCGTTTTTTTAAATAATTCACTATCTAGATCTCTAATACCATTAAATGTATACATTGTATGTATTAGGATGATCCAAATATAGAGGTGATAATATTTTTTTCTTAGTCTTTGCGTAAATGGTAATTGCACCTTATATTTTAGGATGGAGGGATTAAAAAATAATAATCTAGACGGCATGTCTGCATCCTAAGGTCACCCTTTATGGGAGTTTCATTCTTATTAATTAATAGGGCGTCATGTTAATATTTTTGATGATGGACAAGGAATTAATCATATCCACACTGTTTCTAATACAACTTGTCTCTTACATGTATTGTTTATAAAATAAAAAAACAAAATAATACATTATATAAATAATTTTAACCATCAATTAAATATCATGTTGCTTACATGACACCCTTGAAAACATAAAAATGGCACCTTCTAAGTAAGTAACATGATATTTAGGGTAAGTAAATATTTAATCCGATCCCATATTTAACATAAAAATCCCATGCTATGTTTTTCCTCAAACATAACATCAATGAAAATTATTTAGGATCAAGTTTGACATGGTCTGAACTCTGAACAGTGGAGCGTGTAACATGGGTTGGTGGTTGTTTTCACGAGGAAAAGAAACAGCATGATGACAGCCATATGCATTAGGGTGTCCGGTTCTAGGCGTGGTCTCCGGGCCTTTTACGGCCAAAAGATAATGTCTTTGCCATGGAAACCGACATGCATCCACCTTAACAGAGGAGCTGATGTTGATTGCAACCTCTGCATGCATGCAAACGTCCAGCCGTCGACCACACCCAATCCACAGTGTGGAAAATTAAATATCTATTCTTATATTGCAACAAATTACAAAAGAGATGTTGGGTGTATGCAATATGAAATGAATAGTACTTACTAAAAATACTATAAATTCTATATACAGATTGGTGAATCCTGTTTCTGGTACAAGAATTTATAAGCACTATAGACACTACTATAGAAACACACGCCGGAGCGATTTTCGCAGGCTGTTGCCCCAACCACATGCGCTAAATCGTCTGTGAAAATGCAAATCTTTGCATACGGCCAGGGCACCCGCATGTGAAAATCCGGACGCTTAAGCCAACCGCATGCAAAGAGAAAAAATCGCCAAAAAAATAAAATTCCAAAAAAAAAACACGAAAAAAAAACCTAGCGCCACCGCCTGCCCGAGCTCGTCGCTGCTGCCGCTTTCGCTCCCGTCGTCGCCATCGCCGTCACCAGCCACCCAAGACCACCGCCGTCACTGCCCGAGACCGCCGAGACCGCCCGAGACCGCTATTGTCGCCGCCGCCCGAGACCGCCACCGCCGCCGCCGCCCGGGACCACCGCTGCCACCGCTGTCCCCAGATCCTCCGCCGAGCACCGAGCTCCACCGTAGGGCGGTGGATCCGGCCCTCCCATGGACGCGCCGCTGGATCCGCCGCCCCTAGATCCGCCGCCGCTGTCCGTTGCTGCGCCCGCCACCGAGCGCCGTGCTCCTCCCTAGGGCGGCGGATCCGGCCCTCCTGAGGACGACGCCGCCGGATCCGCCGCCGTAGGCCATCGCCATGCCCGCCGCCCTAGGTCCACCGTCGAGCGCCGAGCTTCTCCCTAGGGCGATGGATCCGGCCCTCCCGAGGACGGCGCCGCCGGATCCGCCGCCCGCTGACGCCATCGCCTTGCACCGGTGCCCATGCTCGCTATCGGCGAGAAGAGAGGAGAGGAGAAAGAGAGAGGAGAGGAGAGGAGAGGAGAGGAAAGAAAGAGAGAGGGAGAGAGAGGAGATAAAGAGAGAGAAAAAAATGGGTGGTTGAAAAATTTTGAAATGGTGAGGAGGGAAAGAGAGAGAGGAAGACTTAAAAAAATACGGGCATTTTTGAATGCGGACCACCTAACCGTCCGCATGCGAAAATAGATTTTTGCATGCGGCTATTTAAGAGGACCCATGCAAAAAAAAATTATTAAAAATATTATTTTTTAAACTTTATTAAAAATATTATTTTGGTATTAAATGAACTTCGAGTCGAATTTTAAGATGCTAAATGAACTCATGTGAAAAAGTTGTCAAAAGCAAAGTTGTAGAACTCATTGAGATCTACCATTTTTCTTTTGGTCATTTTGCCATCCGAGTTTGATTGAACTATATAAAATTTGAATTTTAAAATATAAGAAATTCAAATAATTTTCGGGTAGTAAATGATTTGAAATAAAAAAAATTGTCAAAAACAAAGTTGTATAACTTATCAAGATCTACAACTTTTGTATTGGTCTTTTTTTTATATGGCTTCGTTTGAACATTTTGAATATGAATTTCAAATTATGACAACTTCAAACAACATTTTCAAATACTAAATGATTTCAACTGAAAAAGTCATCAATAAAAAAGTTGTATAACTCATCAATATCTATAACTTCTATATTTTTGGTCATTTCTTCATCCGACAAAGTGATTTGCAAGATTGTTCACAAAATGTACACATCTCTTGTATACAAGAGATGTACATTTTGTGAACAATCTACAAGAGATGTGTACATTTTGTGAACAATCTTGCAAAGCACTTTGTCGGATGGATATACAAGAGATATACATTTTGTGAACAATCTTGCAAATCACTTTGTCTGATAAAGAAATAACCAAAATAGAAGTTATTATACAAGAGATGTACATTTTGTGAACAATCTTGTAAATCACTTTGTCGGATGAAGAAATTACCAAAATAGAAGTTATAGATCTTGATGAGTTATACAACTTTGTTATTGATGACTTTTTTTAGATGAAATCATTTACTACTTCAAAATATTATTTGAAGTTTTGAAATTCAAATTTTTAATTGATAAAACAAAGTCACAAGAAAAATAGCCAAAATAATACCAGCAAGAACACAATAACATGATAGAGCATGATTTTAGAAACATTTAGGAAAAAAATATCCAATTTGGAGTTCATATGATTGAGATACACTAGTTTCAAAATTTTCAAATTTTATTTTCGCATACGTGTAGGATCGAGATGTCGACTAGAGGGGGGGTGAATAGGCGATTTAAAACTAAATAACACCTAATCAAATCTAACCTAAGTTGCTAGGCTTGGTGAGGGTGAACTCTAACTAAACAACTAAGTTATGTTTTGCAAATCTAGGGTGATATGATCTCAAGTGTATCTCTAGAAATGTAAATTGCACAAATGTAAATGCGACAATCAAATGAGACAATGAGATAAGAGATTTTTCACCGAGGTTCGGAAACTCGCCGCTTTCCTACTCCCCGTTGAGGCGAGCCCAACTCCACCTCTCAACCACGAAGCCACCGCACGCCCCCTTCGTCAAGGGGTGGGCAAGGCGGGAGCCGGCCCACGGAGAGGACTACCCAAGCCTCGATCACTCGGGGTAGTTCTTCCTTCACTCCGAAGGTGATGAACTCCAAACCACTCACAAACCGGTGGCGGGCCTCCTCCGTACAATCTTCTCGGAGAGGTCACCGGGCAACTCCTCCACAAGCCGTCTAGGAGGCGGCAACCTCCAAGAGTAACAAGCAATGACCCGGTGTGGAGATGATCAAGTGCCACACTAGCTCTACAATGGAAGCAAATGCACTTGACTCTTGGCTAAACAACCCTCTAACACACTAGATGGATGAACACAAAGCTCAAGTGAGTGTGAGAGAGGTGCAAGGGGTGTATGCAATTGAATTGGGTGCCAAGAGAGCCCCCTTGCTGTTGGTGGGGGAGTATTTATACTCCCACCTACCAAAACTAGCTGTTGGGGGCGAAATCCCCCAACTTTGTGCTCTGCCGGTCTGACCGGAGGTATGTGGCCGGTCAGACCGTGCTACTCTGCAACGGCTAGAAAACTAGCCATTGTAGCCCTGTCAGAGGGCCCCATCGGCCTGGCCGGTCAGACCGACATGGGGTGGCCGGTCAGACCGGCCTCGGCTCGGTCAGACCGCCATCGGCTCGGTCTGACCGACTATGGCTCCGTCGGCTCTGTATCGGCCATCCCGAGCAGCATCATCTCGGCCTCCAGGGGGCCTGTCTGACCGGGAAAGTGCCGCCGGTCAGACCGCCACTATGTAGCCGGTCTGACCGGCCAGGGCACGCCGGTCAGACCGCCACTATGTGGCCGGTCTGACCACCCCTGGTCAGGCCGACCCCAGTGAATTTGCAAGTGAATGTGTGTGTAAAGAAAAAGAGAGCACAAATGAAAATGCAATGACCTAATGTGGCAATT